AATATTTCTTTGTGGTGACTGTTTTCCGCCCCTTTTGGACCTCCGGTGCGACTCTCTACAGTCCAAAAATTGTAAAGATCACGGCTCTGCACTGGGCTGTTGGTATGAAGTCGGATTTGGTGCGACCGGCCTCAGGAACTTGTGTGCGGCCTGATTTTGAATGTCCACAATTGGATTGAAAAAACAACAAAGTTCACCATGAATGATTGTGTTCCCATGGTGAGAAGGGGGCAGTGAGGATTAATTTTGTCGATGTCGGTCGGTTTAGCCGGTCAGCTGACGAATGGTGCGGGAGGCAGTTTCAATTCGCCCTGTTCGTGTGGCTGGGCGAACCTCAACGAGCGGTTATGTACGTTCGCCCTTGCATATTGCAATGTGAATAGCCAAGTGTTATCCCCGTCTATTTCAATGGCTGGCATTGCAGACATGCCTCCAAAAAAACAAATTCAGAGGTGGGCTGTATGGTGTTCTTTTCGTCTACGTACATAGCACTTATCATTGTCTCTAATTATGTGTTCACTTTTGTGTACATACATAGCACATGGTGTCCCCTCTCCTTTCTCCCTTCATCATTTGGTTGAGGGAATTATCGCCCACCACAGTCGCACGCAGGGACGAATCCAGTCCACCAAAGGTCGTCCTCCCATGACAGGCTGAAGACATTATGAGGAGAAGTGGTGGATGTTGGTCCGCCTCTGTGCCGCTTGTCATGCGAAGCGCTAATACATTTGAAGCTATATATTAGTGTAAATGAACCGCTACCATGCTCGCGGTGTGGTGCGAAGGGTGACTGCATAACATGACAATTAAGTTTGTTAGACACTTCGTCTTCCGTCGAGAGAGAGAGAGACATTCACCGTGACACAGAGATGGCCGACATAAAAGAGGTTGTCCATGAGGTCGTCGACGACAAGGAAGTCGTCATTCAAGAGACGACTGCTGAGCATGGCACCGAACAAGACAGGGACATGGATTTCTGGGAAGGAGTGGAAGATGAGAGAACTCGCGTGTACTATGTCTTCGTCGACGACAGTTTAGCTTTGAGGATTGTGGCGGGTTTGGGGTATGACCTCGAGGCTCTCCTCGGCGAGACCATTCTATTTGTAAAGAAGTTGTCGGACGTGGTGCCTGACGAGTGCCAGTCCCCAGCAGCCGATGTGGTCGGTCATGTGCTCCGGTTTCTCATATTTGCCATTGCTGATGAGCACAGTGAAAGACTGAATCCCAATGTGTGGTACTCCACGCGCTTGGAGGAACCGTTGGCAAGCCGAAACTACCTGCAAGGGTCTGTGCATACTTCGGAACCTCGTGACGGTTTGAAGCCATCGAAGTAGAGAACCAAAATAACGTGTCAGGTAAAGGAGCAGGCTATGGAGTGGTGCGTAGGTAACGGGCAGTATTCAGTGTAGTGTTCCGAATTCGGGTGGGCCTGGTGGGGGTCAGTCGCCCGGCCGTGCAAACAACAAATGAATAAAATTGAACGCAATTTTTTTTTTTTTTTTATGTTAATTTTAATTTGGTGAAGAGTTTCAATGTCACCTTGAGGCGAAAGCTGTTCATTTTTTTTCTGCATGTGGCATGTGCATTTTTATTTTTTTTTTCCAGGAAGTTTGAATGTTTTCTTGGTTTTTTGTTTTAAATTGTTGGGAGCCGGCACGGCTCGGGCCACTCGGGACCCGGGCCGCCCGGCTGGTAGTGTACGTATGTAGTATTCTCTGAGCTGAAGCTGGGTACTCGCAGGTTGCATTGTAAATTT